ACCTGCAGCACCATTCCCAGCGCACCCATTTTCACCCTTGGGGTTTTGCTTTCCTGGCACTGTCTATATGCATTGATACGCACACTGTAGGTAAAACAGTTCCTTCTCTGATCATACGCTCACAGTGCTTTATTCCTAGAATTCAAGGAACAATTGGATTTCTCATTCTTCTCCCTTTATCATTTCATTAAATAAAATTACTTCTACTAAGTGAGCATTGCTGTTTCCTAGGCAACTGAGATCTTTCCCTTTAACACTGCATTGGAAAATGAAGTCTAAAGAGACGGTTTTGCATTATCCTCATTTAGATCCTCAAACATCTTGGTTGCACACAGGATTTAAAGCATGCACATTTGTCTTTGAAGCCTAACATATATGTACATATCTATTAACKTAGCATCTAGATGCTACTCCCATTGACCCTATGAGTTCAAGCCTCCCCTTTTCACAACTGCATTACCATGATTCCTTGAATAGTATWTCCAAGGTTGAGTGATCTTAAAAAAGCATTTTCTGTTGGACACCCTTCTGGAGCTCCACAGGTTTTCCAAGGAACCTCTGCTGGGGCATGCTGAAAATTTTCAAAGATGCTTTCAAAAATCAAATCTGGAAGGTTCCCCAGGAATGCTTATTTTACCTCTTACTTCTCTATAATACAAATGATAGCATCACTGCCATAAAAAAAACCAATTCCTGGCACACAGCTGGGARGCAAAGTCAGAATTTGCATTAACATAACTGATGGATGCCATCGGCAGCACCTTATAAACTCATCCTACACTACAGTTCAGATATGTAATTGGATTAAGGCACTGGCAAGAGGCTACATGGTTTTCTACATCCTAACTTCTAGTTCAAGCCCATGTCTGATCACTCTGGGAGCTACAACTGTCCACGATTCACAGGAGAAGAGTACCACCATTTTATGGGCTCCAAGGCTCCACATCTGAAAAGACCATCATAACAACTTGCATTAAGTACACCTCTGTGCCAGTGCAGAGGCTAAGGTACATACAGGGCAAGAATCTTTAGAGAGGATATCTATATTAAATACAAAAAAAMCCATARCTTCACTACATCTTTCACAAATCCYGTGTCATTTACAATGAAAAAGAGAGCAGTGGAAAGGTTGTGGGCAAGCCAAGCAAYAAACAAGTACAAAGAACAAAGGCACTTTTTTCTTTTTTAATAGTGGACTGCATGTAGAACCATCTCTACATGTTCATTACTTTGTGCAAAAAGCCAAGCTCCATTTTATCCTCAAATGGCACCAATTTTGCAATCTACAGAGATAGAAATGGACCTGGAAAAGGACCTACAGCACTAATGCCTGGTGAGCCAAACATGATTTAGGAACACAGAATTGTTTCCTTTCACTGTAATTACAGCACCACTTACACTGGAACAAGAGAAAAAATATGTTTTAACTACAGTGCAAGAGAAAAAAWTCTGGAAAAAGGAAAAAAACTGAATTGCTTACACTTCATTTCCATTTGTTTGGGATAGAATATTTGATAGAATGTTGCTTTTTGAGGATTGTATTTACATGTGTGACAGTATAGACTGGAATTGTAAATATTTATAAAATACCTCCAAAATGTTGTTGTATTCTGAAACAGTACTGTCAAGTTTTCATAAATCCTAATGCTTAAATGTTTGCAGAAAAGAAACGTGGAATTTTTCTTCATTACAATCTGGCTTCTGAGCCTTTAGGAAGAACTTTCGCTGTTGTTTCCAAGTTTTTCTCTAAAATAATGGCTAKAGAAATGTTATTTAAAGCACTTTCATTAACATGAAATTCATGTATAAGTTAGGCCCCTAACATTTTTTTAAAAAGTCTAAGCATCATAAAAACTGTAATAAAACATTRATGAACATCTTTTATCAGTATAAATAACATATACAAAAATACACACAAATGATGAATGGATAAGTTATTTCAGAATTTTTCGTAAATCCTCTGCATAGATTTAACATTAGGATAAGTTAGCTTACAAATTTTTGGTAAAGTAAAATGACTACAGGTATTTCTTTCAGATCACACCACAATTCCTATCAAACCAAACAAAATAATGTTTTCAAAACTACTTTTGTTCACAGGACAAATCCTGGATTTCCTGGCCAGAAGGTCAAAGCTTATCGTGGGGTGAAACATTCCTGAATCAAAGTTATTTCAACTCAAGATGATTAGAGTATGACCTGTTTCTACATTAGAGTCCTACAGATGCTGCGAAAACCAGCTGACACAGTTGCCCTTAACCCTCCATGTTTTGCACAAAAAAGGCAGAGGAGCCAGGTGCATCACAAAACAGACACAGCATCCAAGTCAGATCAGGGAATTAAGTCAGGCCCCATGCSTAGGCACTGTAATGCACCATAACAAAGATCCCCTTGCCAGTACATCTTTGCAGCCTGACTCTAAATAAAGGCAGAGACCATCAGCCCAGCACCCAGCATTACTGCAGCTACAGCAGCCTACGACAGCTCTTTTGATTCAGTTTTACTGCTGACTTACTGGGAGCAACTTTRGAAAACATTCAGTATGGCACAGAAAACAGGTGATGTGCCTCAGAAGCTGGTCCTGAGGAGGCCCCATCATCCCCACCTCTGCTCCTGCACAGGAGCTTAGYGGTAAGAATTTGGAAACAAAACATACAGGGATCAATGCTGATGTGGAAAAAYTGCAGAAAGGCTAACAGAAGCCTTGGTAACAGAAGTATTATTGAAAATATTGTCTTATTTCACATGACCTGAGTAGTAGAACCATCTGAAAAAATGCATTTAGCTTTTTAACCTTACCAGCAAAAATCAAGGCAAGTAAAGTGGAGAAAGTTATTCAAAAGCAAAGTCTGAAACCTCCGCCTGCCCGTGATGCCCTGCCCTGAGTAGCTTTGCCATTTTCCAGCCTCCGCTGTTAAAGCCCGGAGCCTCCCAACGGGCGAGGCGGCTGCTGCAGGAGCTCTGCRGAACAGGCCTCTGTGCTGCCATGGAAACCGCTGCATCCCCCAGGGAACAGGCATCAGGTGCCGTGTAACCTACAGTGCCGCCTGCTCCATGAACACCAAAAATACTGCAAAAATACRGCAACCAGCACCAAGCTGTGTGCCAGGGCCTTCTATTCACACACCTTTGGGAGGAAGGGGAAAGGGGCAGAAGGAGAATAACACTAACTGCAAGGGAAAGGAATTGTAATGCCACAATGTGGCACCTGGTAATTACCTGTGGTAATGTAAGACCACCTCACCAGAACCAACAAATCAAAGTCATGTAGCAGGTTGAGCTTCAGAGAATTAAAGCTGAAAGAAAACCACCAGTAATCCAAGGCCGYGGGCCAAGGAGTGGGTGGGTAGGAACCAAGCAACAGGCTCGGGCGTAGGAGGGGTGCCCCAGAATAGAACTGGCACCCATGGGTGCAGGAGGCAACTGCCTCTGCCCTAGATGCACCAGGCAGCAAGAATAAGCGGACCCAGGGAATATCGAGGAGAAAGTCTAACCATTTTGCAAAGGGAGAAAAAAACATTTAATCACAACTAGGGTTTGACTTTTTTTAAACACAGCTGTCAGATGAATGTTATTAATGTGTTTATGTTTCTTCCTTTTCTGTCAAACTCCAGCTAACATTTAAGGTTTGCATTTCTCTAAAGAATACACAGGGAGAATTTCTTTGAGGCACTGTTTGAAAGTAACATCAACACTAAGGGCAAATTAGCAGAATCTGATGTATTAAAGATACGAATTAGACGGGATACTCTGAGGATA